ATATATATATATATATATATATATATATATATATTGTTCGTATATTGTTCAGTTCGTAGCGTTTTACAGTATGCGGCGTTTGAATATGTCCTTTCGTTTTGTACTTGGGCCAAATTTATAACCTGTCCATTTTCTGAAAGGTAAACTCTCTACGCGTCTCTATACGATTCGTGTGTGTATCGTGAGTCTTAATTATTTATTTTTATTAGATGTATTTTCGACATTTGACGCTTTATTTACCAGAATGGAAAAGATAAAAAACAGTAGATGCCGTTTATAGGGATGGTGTCATAGCCGAGAACCCAGAAGTGATTAGCGCTGTCCGGAAGTGGAAGTTTTTATCTGGGGAGCCGAGAACGTACCGGCAGGCCTGCAGTCGTTGAATTTGACCATATCCAAAAGGCTGAATAAAAATAATCCAGGTCACACGAAACGGGACATCGCAGAGATACTCCATATACCTCATATGAACTTTGTATGGCATTTGAAAACACTTTTTATGCGTCAATGGCTTTGCTTCCCGATTTTACAGGAAAGTAAGGGACAGTATTGAAATCTCAGCCTAAAAGCAAAAAATAACAACAATTTTTTTTAAAGAAATGATTACAAATGATGAAAAATAGTTTGTTTACAAAAATGTCAAGTGAGAAGGCCTCGGGAAAACGAAATTAGCTATCATTAGCAACTTGAAAAATCGGTCTACCTCCGAAAAAGATGATGTAATATCTATCCGTAGTTTCGATTCTTCAATAAGTCTTTGTTATCTGGAGATGAAAAAAAAAAGATGCTTTTACACAATAAATGCTTATTTTTCATAAGTTCATAATTTGTAAACGCACTTTATTATTATTATTATTATCGAGTCGCTACACCACACCGACCCAGTGTACCCCACAGGCTCTTGCCTGGGACGTTAAGATTTCAAGCTCGTTAAGTGCGCATGGATCTTCACGATTGGGGCAAACTAGAAGATACTCCATAGTTTATGACTGCCAGCATTGGCAGTTGGGATCATTATCGTTGGCATATCCCCATTTCTGAAGGTTGGCTCTACGGAGACCAGCAGCTGTTCGGGCGCGATTCCGGCAGCACCGGGCGTCGCTGGAGCCAGAGGGTGGATTCTGAGAGCCTGTGTCTCACGTTGTTAAGGAGACTGCATCACAGGGACAAGCGCTGACTAGGAGCTCTGGTGTTCAGTGGTTCGACTGATTGTAGAAAGCTGCCTTGACTTGAGACTCTTTGTCATTGGTTCGCAGCCGTGGAGTGGGTAACTAGGGCCAGCTTCCTGCTTCAAGTTGGGAGTGGACTGTCCTTCTGATGGAAGAGGGAGCGATATCGATAATCAAGTAGAGGTCATTCACTTTGGTTAGCTTTAGACATCCAGTGATTGATCTGCAAGAGGCGTTTAAGGCGGGATCGATATTCTTTGCATGTAACGATCTTCTCCAAACTGGTGAAGCATATTCTGCTGTGGAGTACCAAAGAGCTGTAACATTATTTCCAATACATTTCTACAGTAACATTATTTCTAATGCATTTCTATAGTAACATCATTACCAATACATTCCTCTAGTAACATTGTTTCCAATGCATTTCTATTGTAACATAAGTTTCTATAATAACATTTATTCAATACAATCTATTGTAAAATCATTTTTAATGAAATACTATAGTAACATTATATCCAATTCTTTCTTTTTATGTGACATGTCCTTTCAGGATATAGGCGATCATGGCTCTCCATTTCACTGTATACCTTGCAGGTGTGAACAAGTCTCTTCCCTCTGCTTCCTCCCCCTGAGCACGTTCTGTCATCCACCTGCTTAAGGTCGCTAGGTATACCATGCGTTGTTTTCTCTTCTCTTTCTTTCCCTCTATTCTACCCGTGAGTATCAGATTCTCCAGGCTCTCCTCCCTCATTATGTGTCCCAGAAACTTCAGCTGCCTCTTCCTGACGTTAAGTACATGTCTCCTCCTTGTTTGCATCCTCTCTAAGACCTCACCGTTGCTCACAAGCTCGGTCCATGATAACCTGAGAATCCTTCTGCAGAACCACATCTCCGTCGCCTCTCTTCTTCATCTTTAAGGAAATCGTCCAACATTCGCTGCCGTAAAGAAGGACAAATGTCACTCACCAAAGAAATCCTCCTGTCTCGTAATACTCTGCTCAGCTTTTGGAATGCGTCCTTAGCCATCCCAATATATCTACGGATCTCAGGGTATTATTCTTAATGCATTTCTGTAGTAACATCATTTCCAATTCAATTCTGTAGTAATATTATTCCCAATGCATTTCTATAGCAAAATTACTTCTAATGAATCCTATAGTAACATTATTTTTAGTGCATTCCGATAGCAACATTATTTCCAATACAATTCTATAGTAACATTATTTACAATGTATTTCTATAGGAACATTATTTATAATGCATTTCTATAGTAATATTATTTCCAATGCATTTCTCTAGTAACATTATTTTCAATGTAATTCTATAGGAACATTATTTCAAATGCATTTCTATAGTAACATTATTTCCAACGCATTTCTCTAGCAACAATATTTCCAATGTGTTTCTCTAGGAACATTATTTCTAATGCATTTCTCTAGTAACATATTTCCAATGCATTTCTCTAGTAACATTATTCCCAGTGCATTTCTATAGTAACACATTTCCAATGTATTTCTATAGGAAGATATTTCCAATGCATTTCTATAGTAACATATTTCCAATGCATTTCTGTAGTAACATTATTTTCACTTGCATATTTATAGTAACATTATTTCCAATGTATTTTTATAGTGACATTATTTCCAGTGCATTTCTATAGTAACATTATTTCTAATGCATTTCTATAGTGACATTATTTTCAGTGCATTCTTATACTAACATTATTTCCAATGCATTTCTATAGTGACATTGTGACATTATTTCCAATGCATTTCTATAGTAACATTATATCTGATGCATTCCTATAGTAATTTTATTTCCAATGCAATCCTATAGTAACAGAAAATGAGTTGAGTCATATCAACACTTGTTGCGATAATGTATTTTTTTCTATATTGTAGTCTTTTTATTACATTTTATAGTTAGAGCGTGAGACTGATTACCGGTCATCAGAAGGCTGCTTAGTTGTCCTTGGTCTCCTCTATATTATTGTAAACTGTCATATGTTTTTTTTTATGTTTAACATGAACCAATTTAAATACGGCTATCGAGTACGTGAAAAGAGTCACAGGGGTTCAGTTTTTATTTTTATTTAATAGCGTTGAAGACAGGTAAGCAGACAGAGGGGAAATGTTTGCTCTCTTTAGGGAAGTAGCGATTTCATTTTTATGTGGCTGACGACAACTGAGACGAAGAGTTTCGCTTCAAGAAGAGCGTTCATTGCGCATTAGTCCCTGTCGACGGATGGAACATGGCGAAATAAATAAAATAAAAGTATTTAATCGAAAACAGATGAATATTTTTCGAAAAAGCTCATACACACAAAAAGAAAGTTTGCTAATATGTCTACCCACAGCTCAGTTTCGTTGGGGGCAAAGGGAGATAGTGGATCTTTAACCGGGTAAGTCAGATTTTTTTTGTTTTTGTTGCGTTATCTTTAAGATGGTTGGTAGCCAGGGGGAAGTGTAATAAAGAAAAAAATGAAAGAGAGAGAGAGAGAGAGAGAGAGAGAGAGAGAGAGAGAGAGAAAGAGAGAAAGAGAAAGTGAGACAGAAATGTAGTCCAAAAGCAAGGCAGCAAAGGGGAAGATGAAAAAGGTAAATAAAAAAGAAATCTCGAGGAAATTATTATTATTATTATTATTATTATTACTGCTACTACTACTATTATTATTGTTACTACTACTAGTACTATTATTATTATTATTATTATGTAGTCTAAAAGCTAAAAGAATAAATTAGAAAAGAAAAATAGACCAGGAGGAGGAGGAGGAGGAGGAGGAGGAGAAGAAGAAGAAGAAGAAGAAGAAGAAGAAAGAAATAGCGGAGAAAGAAGTAAGAGAGGGTAAAAGCGAAAACTAGGAAAGGGGAGGAGGGAAAAGGAAAAGGAAAGAGAGAGAAAAGACAAAATCATTAGTGAAGAAGAAGAAGAACATGTAGAAGGACAATTAGTAGTAGTAGTAGTAGAAGAAGAAGAAGAAGAAGAAGAAGAAGAAGAAGAAGAAGAAGAAGAAGAAGAAGAAGAAGAAGAAGAATGAAAACAGAAATTTAGAGAAAAAAGGAAAAGGAAATAAAAAGAAGCCGGAAGCAAAGTCGGGGAAATTATGGAAATGAGAATAAAAGAGGGCAAAGAAAAAGAATGGTGGGAGAAAAGAAAAAATGAGTAGTCAAGAAGAAGAACTAGGAGGAGAAGGAGGAGGAAGAAGAAAGATGAGGAGAGGAGGAGGATTTGGAAGGAGGAAAAGAGGGAGGGAGAGAAAGAGAAGGGTAGAAACAGAGAGAGAGAGGGGGGAGGGAAACGGAGAGAGGAGAAAATCCGGGTTCCTTGTTGGGAGTATAGGATGCAGAGAGACAGGAAGAGAGAGAGAGATAGAGAGAAAGAGAGAGGGGGGAGAGAGGGGAAGAAACAGAGAAGGATGGGAATAAATCCGCTCTCCTTATTGAGGGTGTGGGATGGGCAGAGAGAGAAAACAGAGAGAGAGAGAGAGAGAGAGAGAGAGGGAGATGAATAAATCCGAGCTCCATATTCAGAGGATGAGATGGAGAGAGACAGAGAGAAAAACAGAAAGAGAGAGAGATAGAAAAAGAGGAGGACAGAGAGAAAAGAAGAAGGAGAGGAAAGGAGAGAGGACAATTTCCAGGCTTGTTGGGAGTGTGAGATGACGAGAGAGAGAGAGAGAGAGAGAGAGAGAGAGAGAGAGAACAAGTCCGGTCTCCTTATTGAGAGTGTGGGATGGACAGAGAGAGAGAGAGAGAAACAGAGAGAGAGAAACAGAGAGAGAGAGAGAGAGAGGCGAAGAAACAGAGAGGGAGGGGAATGAACCCGGTCTCCTTATTGGGAGGTCGGATGGACAGAGAGAGAGAGAGAGAGAGAGAGAGAGAGAGAGAGAGAGAGATGAAAAAATACGGGCTCCTTATTGAGAGTGTGGGATGGACAGAGACACAGAGAGAAACAGAGCGAGTGAGGTGAAGAAACAGAGAGGGGGGGAAATAAATCCGGTCTCATTATTGAGATAGTGGGGGGGGAGACAGAGAGAGAAATAGAGAGAGAGAAAGAGAGAGAGGGGTGGAGAGCAGAGAGAAAGAGAGAGAGAGAAAGAAGGAGAGAAACGGAGAGAGAAGAAAATCCGGGATATTTGTTCGGAGTGTGAGATAACGAGAGAGAGAAAGATAGAGAGGTGGGAGAATCCCATAGAGAGAGAGGGGAGAGAGAGAGAGAGTGGAAGGGAGAGAGAAACGGAGAGAAGACAAAATCTGGGCTCCTTGATTGGAGTGTTAGATAACGAGAAAAGGAGAGAGAGAGAGAGAGAGAGAGAGAGAGAGAGAGAGAGAGAGAAGGAGAAACAGAGAGAGAGAGGGGGACAAATCCAGTCTCCATATTGAGAATGTGAGATGGACAGAGATAGAAAGAGCAACAGGGAGACAGAGAGAGAGAGAGAGAGAGAGAGAGAGAGAGAGTTGGGAGAATCACAGAGATATAATGGATTAGGAATTTAATGTTGGATGATAAAAATGGCGAGGTGTATGGAATAAGTTTCGATATAAACGCGATGACATTTTATTTTTTACTGGCTCTTGGCGAATTTTGCCGATCTTCATGTATTTCTTACTGATTTCAATGAAAGAAACATGTTTCTAAGACATTTTTTGTTGAAAACATGAAAAGCAGTCAAAGAGACGGTTCAAACTGAAACACTACCATTATATGGAACGCGCTCGGGAATTCGACATTGCTGACACCTGATCCTTAATAATATCTAGCAAAAATATTTGTGCTGTAAACATTTTTTAATAATGAATGCGCCCCTCAAAAAATAAATAAATAAATAAATGTCTTTTCTTCTGACGAATGACTTCTCTTCCTCTCCCACTCGCGGTAACCCATTACGTCTTAGTGGCATTATCGCCTTACTTGGGTTAAATGATTAAAACAAAAACAATAAAAAAAAAATAGGGAAAGGAAAGGAGAAAGAAAAAATGGCGTCTTATCTTACCCTGCATCCTTCGTCAAAGATGTTGAAGAGCTAATGAAACGAAAGATGAAGTACTTAGTAGACACAAGTCCTTACGCCATGAAATCTAAGCAGGGTTTCGCTAAGGAATGGATGTGGACCCCCTCCCCCGCATCAAAAAAAAAGAAAAAAGAAAAAAAAAGAAGAAATATAAACAACAAAAAGCCTCCAAAAGCGCATGCGCGAAAAATATATCTAGCATAAAAAAAGTCTCATTAACTCGCTCCCTAGCTGATTCATGATCACAGACGCGGATCAAGGATTTTATGCAAAGCTTTAATGTGGACTGGGGAAAGAGTGGGGGTTGTGGTTTCTAGGTACCTAACACATAATGAGCTTATCGCACGTTTTACCTGTACGTGACCATGTTGAAATCAGGTTTACTTGTTCATAGATTGCACATCTGGAATGGCTAGTATGATCTTCCGGCATCTGGTTTAGCCAATAAGCTGAAGAGAAAGTCGGGAAATTTCTCCTGAGCGAGTCACTACTCAAGCGTGCTTGTAAAATATAAAATACCCCACTGGCGCATAAATCAAGGATAAATGCTAAGGGAAGAAAATAATAGGAATAGGAAAACACGCACATACACACACATACTGAACGCACACGCACACAATTACGATGAACATTTTAGACTCTAAAATTTCAAGGATTCAGTCTGTTTTATGGTAAGGGGATAATTTAAATTGTGAAGACGCGATGTTTGTAAAAGCACAGAACTGAGGCAGAATGTTAAACTGCCAAGAACGCGCACCGCATGCTTATAAACATGTCCAGCATTAATTTGGAAATAAATTCTCAGACGAAAGCCGAAAGTATTGAGAAAAATTCGAACAATACATATTTTCAACCTCAGCCCAGAAAATAGAAAAATTGTTAGAATAAAAGACAAAGATTCATGAACAAACACTTTACGGCAATTTTCACACTTCGTGTGCGCCCCCCCCCCCCAAGAAAAAAACTGTGTTTGAAAAAAAACGATTTTTCCCTTCACACAGCTTTTTAACTACTGTAACTTTTCGGCAATGTTCATTGTTTTAAAAGAGATATATATATATATAAATTATTTATTTAAAAATGATTCCAACTCGCGACATAAAAAGGTCTCATGTTTCAAAAAATAAGAGCCTGTTCCATCTTCAATAAATTTTTTGAGAAGATGGAACAGAGTTAAAAACTCTGTTTTAATTCAAATAATTATTTTTGAAGTTTTGGCCTTGCTTTGAAACATGAGACCTTTATGTCGCGAGTTGGAATCATATTTTTAAATAAATAATTATATTTATGCTCTACATTTGTATCGAGCACTATATTTTAAAAAATAATAACTAAAATACTAAGGAACTTTGGATCTACCTAACCAGTTTTCCTATTTTCTATATATTTTTCACAAATATATATATATATATATATATATATATATATATATATATATATATATATATATATATATTTAAGTTATGAGGAACTTGGTAATCCGTATGGGTAATCCCAAGGAGGATGAAATCCTGAGAGCTCAATGTAAGTCCAGAGCTAATATTTAAAAGAAAAACAGACTACTTTAAAATGATTTCAATTTTGGAAGTGCTATCTGATGATCCGGCGTCCTTTAAAAGGACTCTGGTGAAATAAATTATTATAATGGTACCTTAAAGTAGTCTGTTTTTCTTTTAAATTTTTATATATATATATATATATATATATATATATATATATATATGAAATAATAAAAAATATTAAAAAAATAAAATCTTCAGACACACTGGGTTGTAGATTAATATTCTTTCGTTTTTTTATTATTAGATCATTTAGATTCCTCGACTAGTTTCGGCCAAAATGGTCATCATCAGGAGAAGAAATATTTCTGTTTGCTGGTAGCAGTAAACTACGGAAATGAATGTCTTGATGGAGAAAATGAACTTTTATCTGTAGTTTTCATTTGTTTTTTTTAAATTTTATCTTTTAACATGAATCTTTTAACATTCCTTGTGTTGGTCAAACAGTCTCTTTTAAGTTGTTATTTGAGATAAGAGCTATATATATATATATATATATATATATATATATATATATAATTATTTATTTAAAAATTATAACATCACTACAAAAAAAATTTAACAATTATACACTAATCATATACTTGGGTATATAATAATAATAATCGACTCTCCCGTCGAGATTAGACGTATGAGGGTCAAGCAGATCAGTTTCAGGAAACCGACAGCCCGACACCGGCACATGAGATTTGATTATAGTGGTGAAGGCTTCGTGCAGGACCATCCACACTTTTTGAAGGGACGAATACAGAGACCTGGTGCACCGAATGCTACAAGGTTCCCAAACGACCCTCCGCAGGTTTTGAATTTAGAGTTGTCCTTCTCCTAGACCAGTTGCCATCCAAGGCTATAGAACCCAGTCTGTCCTGCTATTTTACCCATAGCTGGAGACTTTATGGGTATTTATATATATATATATATATATATATATATATATATATATATATATATATCTAAAGAGCCAGGAAAACCTATCTAGGTTTCACCTAAACGGATCTTCAGGGTAAGCCAGCATATGTTGAAGATCCGTTTAAGTGAAACTTGGGTAAGTTTTCCTGGTTCTTTAGGATGTATTTTATCTATTCCCGCTCTTCTTACCGTATTAAGCACTCTACGTTTTAGTCTTCCTACTCGCTTGGTTTTTTTTTTCTTTGGACTAAAGACTTAAGGCACTGGTCGATTTATTTCGCCCTGTTCGGATGTTTTTAGTTCTTTTTTTTATTTCCAATTTTTTATTTTCCCATATCTATAAGTTGTGTTATCCGAAGTTTTTTTCCTAACCGAGTATTACTCTTAATATATATATATATATATATATATATATATATATATATAGATATATTATTTAAAATTTGTGCATTTAGGCAGCAAATTCTCTTCTAGGCATATCTGATTAAATAAGTTATAGATTTTCAACGTCAAGTGATGCTATTGTTTCATTATTAGGTTTTTCATTTTTTAATCTCTCTCTCTCTATATATATATATATATAAAACAGAGAATGTCTGTGTGTGTGTGTATCTGTCTGTGTGATATCTTTTCACTCGAGACCCATCCAACCGATTTTGACCAAATTTAGTATATACATTCTACAATTTAACAGATAGGTTCCTAGCGTAATAAATCGGTAATTTAAAAAAAATCAATAATCGATAAAGCCGATCAAAATTCGATAATTTCAACATTTTTCCTCCGATTTCGTTCAAACTCGGTATGTAGGTTACTTACATCGTGACGATCTCAGCGATCCCTCATTTTTATTTCTACACCATTGCGTTTAGCGAAAAACCGCGAAAACTAAAAATTTCAACACAACAATTTCATTTTAAACTCCCTCAATTTTTAAGCAATCTAATATAAACTTTACTCAATTGTAGCCAACAATAAGTTGATTGTTTAACAGTCATTTAACTTGACAACTGAGTCTACCCATACAGTGAAAACCCGCGTAAATAGTGAAAAATGGCGATTTTTACTGGTTTCTTTCTTGTTTTTCATTGATCTTTAAACCAGTTTTCATCAAAGTTAACAATTGCTTTATAAATGTACCCTCTTTTACATCACTGCTAGCACACTGACAAATTGAATTTAAAAAAATTCTAAAATAATTTTGGTCTGAAGTGGGTCTTCATGTTGCCTGTTTTACCCCTTCATGCTCTCGGCTAAATTCGATTGAATAAATACAGACAACTTCTGTTATATCAGTAACTTCATTAATTCCAAATGTTTTTGTTTTTTTTAATGAAAGTACTTTAAAGTAATTGAAGAAGATAGACCCTGTTACATCTAAACATGATACTGTTTTTGCTCCATTCTAATTGAACGCTTTTTCTGATCGGCCAGCTGGGTATGGCTGCTATTATTTGTTCAAGGGTTGATTTAATGCTGCATTTATTAGGCATGTATAGTGTAATTAATTGGTTAGTCGTTTTAGTTAGTTGGTAAACAGGAGTAAGAATTTGGGGTATAAAGGGCAGAGTGGAAAGTTAGGCTCGTGCGTTTTGATAGAATATCAAATTTGGTAGAATATATATATATTTTTTCTTAAGCATTACGCCCCAAGCAAGGCGTGAAGCCACTAGGATGCAGGGGGTTGCGGAAGATTTGGAGCGAGAGCAGATAGGAGTGATAGAAGAAAGGACGAGGAGAGGGATAGTGGGTAGATCAAGGTAACTGGAGATGTCGATTGACATTACATTTGAATAGTTGGAGATTATAGCTCTCAGGGAAACAGTAATTGTGGAGGGTGTTCCACTGGCGAGAGGTGCGAGGTATGAAGCTATTGGAGTAGAAGAGACGGCTACATT